AAGCCTCTAAGAGGCAATATCATGAAAAGGCCTAAGAGGAGATAATTTTGGGGGATCTAATGAACCACCAATATCAAAAATGGTGCCCAGTCCTTCGTGGGATAGTACAATGAATCAGCAGTAAAAGTAGTTGTTGGAGTAGTTTTTGGTTGAGTCTGATGGCCTTGAGATTGTTCTAGAATGAAAACTCCCTTCCTGGGATCACATCTTCTCCTTTTCAACGGAGGCTGGGAGGTCTGAGTCATCAACGGTTCACTTATAGATGGCTCAGTAGTAGGAACAACATCCTCAAGAGGTGGAATCCTTGAAGTTGTCTCCATAGGTGTTGTAGTGTCAGCCATTTGATTGGAAGTAGGAGGCGTTGTTTCAAGAACATCGTATGTATCCCTTTTCTTCGTTGCTAGATGAGCAACATCATGGATATTTTTAAAAAAACGTATCAAGGTCTTCATTAGATAAGAGGTTATCAATGCCTCCAAAATTAAAAGAAATGGCATCCTTGTCAAAACCTGTAAGATCAAAATCATTAAACGAATCATCATCATTTCCTTCATTTTCAGTTGCATCCTCCATCGTTCCCTCATTGTAGTCACTCTCAACATCTACAGAGTACAAGTCATGCTCTTCAGCCACAATACCAACATGTGTAACTACATCATCTTCGTGATCTGATACAGGAATAACATTATCTTCGAAAATGACATCGTCTTCAGAAGTTACACGGTCTGATGATACATGAGACTCAGATTCCTCGCTTGAGTCGACAAACACACCAAACATCACTGTGGGATACTTTCATTGAAAAGTACCTTTTTCCTTTCGGTTTTGCTTGATTATCCCGATAGTGTTTGGCCCAAGAGACTTCATGTCTAGAGTTTCTCCTTCTTTAACCATCGCAGGAAATTGCTCGTTGATGAACACTTGAATGAACCTTGGGTACAGCAAGAGCTTGTCCCTCGTTTTTCCTTTGATGTTCAGAATCAGCTCGTTAAGGATGAACTTGGAGAAGTTGTAATCCAGTCCCGCAACAAGTGAAATGATGGCAACTGTGTTCCTCAGAGAAATTTCATTCGCGTCAGATTTTCTTCCTGATATGCAGTTCACAAAGACATGAGCTAAGAACCTCCAATAAGGTGGTAGCATCTTCTTCATTGTCGGAGGAAAGTCGCCTTCATAGCCCATTTTGATGAGAAATTCCTGAACATGAATAGTTTCAATCTCAGTAGGGAAGGCAGATTGATCTTCGATTTTCAGAACGTCCCTGATGAATCGTTCTGTGACGATGATTTTGCAATCCTTTATTGTAGCTTCAACAGATACAGATCAATCTTCTCCTTTCATTACATCAGCTGACCTCCAAAATTCTTTGATTATGCCTTGATAAATTGATGGATTCACAGTAAGAGCAGTGGTCAGGCGATATTCTCTTAATCCATGCATCATTGACTTGAACTCTCCATGGGTGACAGGCGGATCAACCAAAAGAATTATCAAGTTGTGACTGTCAGCGAATTTGAGTTCTGCCATTTCAATTTGCACTAAACCAAGCAAAGTGAGAAAACAATTTATTTAAACCATTAAAATTGATGTGTTGCTCATGTTGCAGTTTAATTAGGCTCTTAAGTGAAAGAAATAATGACAAGTCAAAGTTGTGTTGACCAAAACTGAGTTTACGGTCAAAGGGAGTTATCGGTCGTAAACACATGGCCATAAACCTGGCCGTAAAGGGTTGGCCGTAAACTCAGGCTGTAAACACCAAAAATGATTTTCTTCGATTAAGTCCTTAAAACAAGTCGATTTGATGCGAGAATGGCATATTGAGGATCATAATTAGCATACCTTAAGTTTCAACCAATCAATTTCACAAAAATTACGAGAAAAAAAAATTAGAGAGAGAGAGAGACGAACGGAGTTTGCGGCCGAAAATGAGAGAATGAGGAGTAGTAAGTGTTTTCGGCTAGAACGTAACCTTTTATACCCGTTTCAAATACAATGGGCTGCAATCCACAGTTCATACAAATAAAATCTAATACCCAAAAAATTTAACAAAATAAAACATTTTGAGGAAAAAAATAAGAAGAAAATTAAAAATAAAAAAATAAAACTAAATTAAACATATGCCAAATCACCTTACGCTTGCGGAATGGTCCTTAGCCTAATGTTGGATTCCTTGTATACTTTGATGAAAATGATACTTTTTTTAAAAGGATCTTCGGTGGATTTGCTAGATGATACATGTGTTGGAATGATAAGGGATCGTGGGGGGATTGCAACAAATGCAATCATTAATCATGATCACATAGTAAAAGAAAGCGGAAAATGGCATTAAAATCTTTAAGTTTTCACAAAAATATCGATTTTACCCTTAAACGTATTTTAGGTCAAATAAAGCCCAAAGTTTTGTTTAACTTGTTCATTTTTACCCTTGTAGCCGGTTTTTAGGTAACCTACCGGTTACCTAATACCAATAAGGGCTTTCATGTCATTTTCCCTAAAATAAAAAAAGAAGAATCTGAGTATCGACACGGGTGACTTTAAAAATCTATTAAACAAAAATGAAAATGTAATTTTTTTGGGTCAATAGTTTAATAGTAATACTAATAGTGGACTAAAAAACTTAAAAAGCCCAAACAATGTCCTTGGAGACGTGGCTAACTCCAGCCTTGTTAGGACTTATGAGTTTTGAGTTAGGAGAAATATTCATGGGCTTTTTAATACCTGGCATGGGATAAACTCTTCGCATATGATATGGCTACAGAATTACAGATCCTAACCTAACAAAAACTACCCTTGGCTTACATCGTCGAATCAAATATCACGTGAATTACAGATCATTGAAATAGAAAATGACAAACACCAACGATGAGAAAAGGGGAATGGGAAGAAATCGTTGGGAAAAGGGGAATGGGAAGAAATCGTTGGGTATTTCTTGGAGGCATATTGTAAGGATCCAAAATTTTAAATACCAATATTAATTTAACATGGTCTCTAAAAGTTCTGAAATTCGAAAATTCAAATACTAATATCATTATTAATAATAATTGTGGAAGCGAATAGAAATTTAAATAAACACTTAGTGCGTTACGTCCTCCTCAAAGCTTGTCACTTTCTTCAAGTCTGAGTTTTATCTTTTCCATTTCCGTTGCCACTCGCTACGTTATTTCATGGGTTGCGTGCATTTAAAGATTTTAATAGGTAAACCTAGGACCTAGTCAGTTCGTGGTTTTCAAGCATATTGACGTCAATAAAATAAAAACAAATGCAACAATTTATCAAATATAATGTGTTTCCCTTCTTACCACCATTGGTGATACATAAGAGAACTACAATCATTTTTAGGGAACAAATCTCTCCGCCGGGCACAACAAATATGCTTACGACTAATTAATCAGAGCATAAGCTCTCCACCGCGTACTACACCCTGTACGTTGACTACTAATAAGACCGTATAGTAATACACATGTTCTCTATATATACATCACCCACCATTTTCACCATTTTATGTGAAATAATTCATAAAAATTCACACAAATATTCATAGCAATAATAACAATAACATGTAATTGCAAATCATTTAGAATTAACTTTTCAAGTAAGCAACCACAAAATCCACACGAAACTCACCATGTTGGCGTTAGGTCTTAACCAAAGTTTATCACGCTACATGCACCCTACATTTAACCAATATATTTCTCTATGGACATAATCCTAAAAACATCTTATGATTTCATAGTGTGGGGTTCGATTATTCGCACGCCTTGTTTGTCCAACTAATATTTTAGTTATCATATATATATATATATATATATATATATATATATATATATATATATATATATATATATATATATATATATATATATATATATATTAAAGCATAAATTTTTTAAAGGAAATAATAAACTAATTATTTATTAAATAAATTGGGTAGAAATATTTAATTACCAAAACTTCAAGGGCTACAATGCAACTCTTAATAACAATAAAAGTAATATACAAGATTACAAGATGCCAAAACTTTAAATTTAAAAGGATGAGTGATTTAACTCAGAAGGGCCTTTTCTGCAATTATTTGTTGGGTTTGCAAAAAAATGAATGTACATGCCTATCGATGGAACAATCAAATAGGTGCTTTTTACAACTGGGCCACTAAGCAAATTTAATGTGTTATATCTATTTATAAATCAGATGACATGTTTTGTAAGCCTGCTCATAGTAACTGACCCGAATTGTCTTCCTTCTTAACCTGCTATTTTTTTCTATTATACTATATATTAAATTTATCCACCCTTAGCTACAGTAAAGTAGCTAAGGGATTGATAGGATTGGTCCTTCTATTATTTCTTTTGAACATTTTGGAAATTTTGGGTTGTCTTTTGTCAAAATTCCCATTTCTATTATGCTCTTCTTGCCCTTATATTTTGCTGATGATATGGACATTTATCTGCATTGTAACTAATACGTGTCATTTTTCATTCCCTCTTCCATTGTAACCGATACGCATCCTTCCCACCGCCTCCACTACTCGATACCTGAATACGAGATGCTTTCAACCTGTGTTCGTCGATTGTGCTTCCCACCCCACCGCTTCTCTCCGCCGCTCACTTCCACAGCTTTTCACTTCTTCCGTTTTCTTCATGAGCTTCAGGAGTACCATTGTCTATCCATTCCTCTGTTCTACTTTTATTCTTCTGCCGAGTACCCTTCGCATCTTCGTTTCCCTTTTCTGGCTTCCAATCAAACCTACCAGTCACCGCTTCCACCTCCTACATCGACTATTTAATCAAATACATACACGAATGTAGACCAGATATTACCGTCTCCATGCTTCTTCTCATACGCTTTTGTATCCGTTTACACCTCTCACAAACATGGATTTTGGTTCCGTGTGTTTCGTTATTTTCGTCTTCTGCTACCATCGGTGATGGCCGACAAAAGCCCTAATATCGATTGAAATAGAAATTCAGCTTTATTTTCTGAACTGCATAAACCATTGCTCAATGGTCAACTCTTTAATCAGGTTACGTGACCTCTGGTATAGTCTACGCTCAAGAAATCTTGGGCGTCTCCTACCCTCCAGCTACTCCAGCCTCTCTGAGTTTTACACCTACAAGCCCTAAAAGAACACCACCGATCGATTTTGCTCCTGCCCTCCATCGTGGGGGAGATTGATGCAGTCGTAGATAGCGACTGCAAAACCCAAATCGTATTCCCCGTTATTCCCCGTCCTCACCGCCAGATTAAGCGAGGGAAGCTACCGCTACATGCTTTTCGAAGCATACCCAAAATTTCAACTGGCTTATGCACATCACGCGCCAATCGGTATGTTTCTTTCCTTAATTTTCAATTGATTAACCAAAAAACTCACTTGAATAAACTATTGTTGTAGGATACTAGTAAACTCCGGTGTAAATAAGGTTTTAATGCGTTTATTGCATAGAGTGCTTGAATTTGATGTATAATTTGTTGTTGTATCATATATTCTGAACAACTTTATAACAAATTTCTTCACAGAGCCAAAATTTGGTGGATATGGGTCATTTTACCCTCACAAAAGCATATTCTGATTCTCCATTTTCAAATCAACACATCTGAAACAGTTCAAAATTTCAACAAATCGTGTTTGCATGTATATGGGATTCTATATGATCATTATATTTATTGATAAACATTGATTAACTGTCAGCAGGTTGGATATGAATTTTCGAAGAAAATATGTTTCAGCCACACCATCTGGTAGCTTTCTGATCAGCGATGCTTTCTCCATTAGCTTATTTATTTTCATTTTTTATCTATTTGTATAACTGTTTAAGCTGAATTTTTTGTTCACACTTTTGTTTTGCTGTGTGTGAGGAGTTAGAACTTAAGGGGGCTTTATGTTATCTGATTAATCTTTCTGCTAACTATGTTTTCAGGGGTTTTGATGTTAGAAGGGAATGACATGGTGGAATGAAATCTGGATTTCCAAATTCTGCTTCCAAACATACCTTAAGATTCTTAACTGATACTTTTATTCCTTACTTACTCTTTTTGCAATTAATCATGACTGTTGTAGGTGCCATTCTTCAACATAGGGATCAATACAATGGTTACATTTTCACACGTTGGAGGCAATTATGCAGTAGGAAATCCAACTTAATGAACTCCAACATTATATTTTTCTTTGAAATTTCAGCCAATTTCGAGCTTATCTAAAATAGTTTTTCGTTTATTAACCAAAAAATGTGTTGAAAGGAAATATTCAAAGACTAAAATCTTTTATATTAAACTTATGGATGTATTATCATCACCAATAGTGAATGCTTCAGCAATAAATCCCTAAATCAATGCAAGATGTTATGTTTTGAAAAAATATGAAAGAATTTTTGAATTTTTTTTAATGTTGAATTAGGTTATAGTTACCGGTCAATGTGGGAAACGTAGTGAGAAAAGAGAGTTCTGGTACGGTCTCCCTGTTGTGCCCATAAGTAAAGGTAATTTCAGCTCTTAAAAAAATTTCTTAATACATTATTTATGCTTTGTTAAAAATGGTATTATCAATTATGTGTATTTGTTTCTTTTTTAAATTTGTAATGTTCGTTGTAAAAAGTTGTGACATTGTTGTATAGTAACATTACATGAATTTATAAATATGTTCAAAAGAATTTGGTCAATTGACAACCACTGCCAGCTCAGGTTAAAATCTATTTTTTCTTTGGCTCAAGTCAAAATTTCAGTCCTCATTCTTATCAAGCATTTGATGTTCAGAAAGTTTGATTTTTTTTTTTTTAATTTGTTAGTTAAAATGATCATTTTAACCTTTTTATCCAATTTGGTAATTTTATCGGATTTTTTTTTCGTTAATTGACCCATTTAAACAGAAAAAAAAAATTGATATGAAACTCTTAAAAGAGGAAATATAATTTTTTTGGTTAAAGAATTCATTTAGATCATTTTTATCAATTTGCCCATTTTTGTTCAATATACAGGGACCATATATGTTAGTTTTCTTAAAAGGAGGGAAAATGACTCTCAATTGGTGCTTGATTTGGTTATACATAAAGTCAAGCTTCCATTTTGTAGTCTAAATAAAATTGATCTAGATTTTTTTATTTTTTTAATATAAATTCATTAAATGGAATCTTTTAATTTTCTCAAGTTTTTATTTTTCTTTTTTAAATTGATGCAAACTATAGTGCTATAAAACCTACTTTCATGCTATTAGGAACACAATAAAATTTATTTAGCTACTTCATAGTTTATTCTCTAATTTTATGCAGATATTCAGGAAGGACAATCATGAGAGGAGGATTTCAAAGTGTTTATTACCGAATCCCAGATTCTTTCATAAATGAGCCTTGTGGAAAGCTAAGTTTTTTGGGTAAACAGTTCTGTAAACTACCCCTGCATACTATTTTTTATAGTTAGAAATTTATGATTCTAACAACATCAGACCAAAGTGCTCCAGCATATTGTTTTTATAATTAAAAAAAATGATTTTAATATTTTTTGACCAAACTGCCCCTGCATGCTATTTTTATAGTTAAAATGTTTGACCGGTCGAATGTTTATTTATGTTATAGTGTTTTATTTCTTCCCAATTTATGCAAAAATGATTCACATTTTTACCACTTATGCAACAAGGTCGTGCTTTTTTGTTTACCAATTTATGCAATATTCACGGTTTTGGTCTTATAATGAAATGTAGTTCGAAATCATATGTAGGAAACTATTTTGTTGCATAAACTGGTAAATTGGAAAGTACAATGCTATAAATGGTGAATAAATACAGTTTTAGCATCCAATTCAGGGTAGAAAAGAAACTATTGTTCGTTCCTAGGATGTCGTAACCGGAACTGGAACTGTTTAATGTGAAGTAAAATCCATTTATTTTTATACATTTTCAGATTCTTGATTCGTGTGTAATAGTAACACCCATTTTTTTTAAATGTCAGCATATGGAGGAATTCATGATTCAAGGAGACAATGAAGGACTTAAGTTGCATAGAAACAACCATTAGTCAGGCTGCAAAAGTTGTTATTAGAATAGATGTTCCTACATCTAAATGTGGCAAAGTTTGTAAATAACAATCGGTATATACTTATTTTGAATATGCAAAGAATTGGGTTTCTTGAGTTTGAAATCCTCATCCATGCATAAATAAATATTTATTCATGAAAAAGTTTTACTGATGATGGAAACCTTGGTATATTGTGCTTTTGATGTATGACATTCGATTGTTTGTCAATGTTAGTTGTTAACTTATAGCAAGATATCAACTACAATACAATCCATTGCTACAATGTACATTCATTTTCTAATCGCATATTACAACATATTAAATTATTATGCGTTTGTAAATGTGCGAATTGTAGTGAATAGCAACGTACTTTACTATGTCTACAATTCAGGCAATGTACTATATTTCACACAAAAACAACACCTTCTATTGTCTTTTGTTAGTTTTCTTTAACATGATTGACGAATCCAACCCCCGCGAAGCGGGGTTTCTTATCTAGTTTCTATCATTCTTATCTTTTTTTTACAACTTCGATTTTTCCCAATAACGTGAAATTATTGGGTGAAACCCATAAACAGTTGTCTCCGCTGCTAACTAAAATAAATCCATTTTAATCTAAAATGGAATCATATAATCAAAGATTGTTTATATCATTTTATGCCAAGTTTTACTCTTTTAATAACCATCAAATTCAACATCTTCATAGCCAAACCAAGGAGATACGATAGATCTAGACCACACCATATGTAATCTAAAATGATATTTTCAACTAATTTAAACTAAAATTAGAAGAACTTACCTTAACTTCTAAAGAAATCTTAAATATCTTCACAACCTTGAATATCCGAATTCTCCTTCGAATCTCAGTCGTTTTTTGCAATTCTAATGGGGTTTAAACTTGATTTTTCATACTATTTATAATGCCTAAGTCTAAAACCGATGAAACCCTTTCATTTGCTCGTATTTAACTGGCCCAAGCAAGGTGGCGGTTTTGAACATTAAACCTCATAATTTGTATATAATTAACCCATTAACTGGGAACTAATCCTCTTTTTTATATTGATATAATCAGATTATATATATTATATATTTTTATTTTTGACACAAGTTATTACAAACTTCCCCCATTAGAAAAATTACGTCCTCGGAATTTGAATTAATTAAATAAAGGAGGGTATTACTCCCACCACTCCTTCACTTTTCCACTTCTCTTCCTTCGATGCCTCTTCCCGACTCTTTCTCAAATCATCTAGTAAGCTGGTGGTTATGTTCATCTTCATCATTCGAATCTTAGGTGGTTTTCTTCTTTCCTTACGACTTAATGCATCAGCTACCACATTTGCCTTCCCCAGATGATACAATATCTTACAGTTGTAATCTTTTAATAGTTCCATCCACCGTTGTTGTCTTATGTTCAAATATTTCTGATCAAACAAGTTTTTAAGACTCTTGTGATCAGTGAAGATTTGACACCTTGTCTCATACAAATAATGTCTCCAAATCTTTAAAGCGAACACTACTGCAGCCAACTCCATATCATGTGTTGGGTATTTACGCTCGTGAACCTTCAATTGTCGTGAGGCATAAGTAATCACCTTACCTTTTTGCATCAAAACACACCCCAAAAGTAATTTGGATGCATCACGATAAACAACAAAGCCATCATTGCCTTCTGGTAAAGATAATACTGGTGCACTGCTAAGTTTTTCCTTTAGGACGTTGAAGGCATTATCTTGCTCTGGCTTCCATTCGAGCTTCACATTTTTCCTTGTCAGGGTAGTTAGCGGTGCAGCTATGTCCAAGAAGTCTTGTATACACCTTCGATAGTATCCTACGAACCCATGAAAACTTCGAACTTCTGACGGGGTTCTTGGTCGTTCCCATTTTTCAATCGCCTCAATCTTTGCTGGGTCCACCTTGATACCATGTTCGTTTACAACATGTCCCAAAAACTGGACTTCCCGAAGCCAGAACTCGTACTTCAAAAATTTGGCAAATAATTTTTCTTTCCTCAGTAAACTAAGTGTTACCCTCAGATGTTGCTCATGGTCTGCCTTACTTTTAGAGTATATCAAGATCTCATTGATAAATACAATTACAAACTTGTCTAGGTATGGATTGCACACCTGGTTCATCAGATCCATGAACGCAGCTGGTGCATTGGTCAAACCAAATGGCATTACTAGAAACTCGTAATGACCATACCTAGTTCGGAAGGTTGTCTTTGACACATCTTCTTCCCTGACTTTCAGTTGGTGATACCCCGACCGCAAATCGATCTTTGAGAAGTAACTTTCCCCTAGAGTTGATCAAATAGATCATCTTTTCTTGGTAACGGATACCGGTTCTTTATAGTCACCTTGTTTAACTCCTTGTAGTCAATGCACATTCGCATTGTTCCATCCTTCTTCATAACGAACAGTACTGGCGCACCCCACAGTGAGGTACTGGGCCGAATAAAACCCTTGTTGTCACTGAGCCATCAACTCCTTCATTTCGATTGGTGCTAACCGATAGGGTGTACAAGATATCGGTGCTACTCCTAGGGTAAGATCGATTCGAAACTCCACTTGCCTATCTGGTGGCAAGCTAGTTAGGTCATCAGGGAGCACAACTTGGAGCTCACGTACAACTGGTATGTGTGTTGTTTTAGGTTTGTCCTGCTTGGCATCGAGAACATAACCCCAATAGCTTTACCATTCCTCTTTTTGGCACCCAAACTTGAACAATCCTATTTTCACAATCTATGATTGCTTAGTTTCTGACAACCAATCCATCCCTATAATGATATCAATACCACCTAGGGCTATATGTAATAATTTTAACGACACTACACCACCTTTTACATCGATACAACAATCATCATATTCCTCTCTTACTACTACCCAATGATCGTCAGCAGTTTCAATTTCCAAGGCATGTTCAAGAGTCTTTGCATTTCTACCCAGGTTTTTGCAAAAAGTAGTAGACACAAAAGATCTATTTGCACCAGAATAAAATAATACCCTAGCATGAATTGAGTTTACTAGTAAAGTAACTGTCACCACATCCGGGGTCTCCTGAGCCTCCTGAGCCGTCATGCAAAAAGCTCAAGCTTTTTGTCTACGAGTGTCAGCCTTTTTATCCATCGACTAATTGTATGTTATCCTGCCTTGATTGCTATTAACTTTACTTTGGGGACATTCCAATTTAATGTGGTTAGGGGACCCACACCCGTAACATACCCTTCATGTCTTACATTCTGTAGCTATGTGCCCTGGCTTCCCACACCTGTAGTAAACTTTTTGATTCAAGTTACACTCCCCCTTATGATAACGGTTGCATTTCGAGCATTGCTTTACTACAGAACCTTTATCAACCTTACGTTCTTTCCCTAAAGTCTTTTCCTTCTTAGAATCATTATTCGTACCATCCCATTTTCTTTTCCCCAAAGCCTTGTCTTCAGCTTGACGATTCTTCTCATGTTCGCGGCTTTTTGTGGCATCTACAACCGACTGGAAGGTCCCTGGTTTCTGAATTTGCACAAATTCGTAGATAGCTGTTCTCAATCCCCATATATAGAGTTCCACCCTTCTTTCTTCTGTAGAAACGTAAAATTCGGCAAACCTAGCTTTCTATGTGAACTTAGTGGTATACTCCCTCACAGTCTTGTTCCCCTGTTCCAACCTTAGTAATTCTTCCTCTAACTGCTTAACCATTGTTCGTGGGCAAAAATTTTCTTTAAATATTATCATAAACTCATCCCATGAAATCCTCTTGGACGCCTTATGCCCCCTAACTGCCTTCACCATGCCCCACAAATGTATTGCCTCCCCCTTTAACATTGTCGCAACCTGAATCACCTTGTCCTCATTCACACACTTGCTAGTATCAACTGTTCCCTCAATCTCCATAATTCATGTTGATTACAAAACATGATCAATTTCTCCATTAAATATGGATGGCTTACAATTCATGAACAACTTGTAATTACAACCTCGCCGATCGCGGCTGTCATGATGCCTTGAGGGTTGTGCAACACTTGGTTCCTGATTCATAATTGGTGTACTGTACTCATAGTCTTCTTCACCTCCACCCAAGTTACCTTCATATTCACCCATTATAGCTTCTCGTGCCTGAGCAACTACATCGGGAAAAGTGGCTCGAATTGCACAAGCAATCTCATCAGCCAACTCTTCTGTGGTGATTGTGTTTGCCGTACGACCCCTTCCGCGACCTCGACCTCAACCGCGGAGGATTCTGAAGCTGCCATGGGCCGATTTTATAGGTATTGGTACTGTAACAGCTCCTCAGCCTCTTTTTCTACCCCTACCTCTTCCTTGGCCTCGTCCACGACAAGCATTTGGGATTAATGGGGTTTCTGGTAGATCTCCTGGTACTCTAACGTAAGCTCCAATTGGGATGATTTCTTCCTCTGGAGTGACCCTAGTAAACCTCCCAGATCTTCGTGAAGACATGTTAACTACATATTTATGTTTATAACACAATAAGTATAACAAACATAAATTTTATTCCAAATTATCAAAACTTCAAAAAGAGACATATGTCTTGTTCACATCAAGTCACTTAAGACAACAAACAAGAAAAAAAAACAAATCATTCCACTCCTACATTCTACTCTTTAAAAACGATATCATAATATTTCAATATTCGCTTTCCCTCATGCAAGTACTTCCTTATTTTTTTAGATTTTGATCTTCGGGACCACTTTGAATGACCAGCACCTCGGCCTGAGGTGGGTCTCTTCCAACCACCTTATCTAGGAATCCGTAAGTCGCGGCCTTAGCTTGTTTTGCCCGAGCCACAAACCCTTCCCACAACTTAGTGATAGTGGGTTTCCTTAGCTCCAAAAGCTCCTATTCCAGCCTTCGTATCTTGTGCTTGCTTTTCTCAGCAGCCTCAACCCATATTTGGTTCTATTGTATGATCCTTGACCTCTGCTTATCTATCTCTTCAATCTTTCTTTTCAAATTGTGGATCTCGAGCTATGCCTGTGGAATTTCATCTTTATAAAGTCGCTCCCATTAGGTACCAGGACTAGTTGGCTTATACTCCACATAGGGCACATGGAACGTTTCATATCTTTGTTCCAAATGGTACTCCACGCGATTTCCCCCTGGTTCCTCCTCGGGGCCTTCTTCCGGTTCCTCATCAGGGTCTTCCTCGGGTTCCTCCTCAGGATCTTCGTCGGATTCCACCTCAGATTCCACATCCTCGTCTTCTTTATCCCGCTCAGAGAGGTTGAGTGCGGTCGTTGGTTCCAGACCGCCTTCCGAATCAGAGAGCTCTAACTCGACCTTCAACTTCTCATGAGGAAGTCACCCACTATTACCCTCAACTGACACCCCACCATTGACAACTATTTTTCCACGATCCATAGTATCTAAAAACGAGACACATTCCAGATTAGGTGATGTACCGCTTCCCCCGTTTAAACTTAGGCATTTAAACAATGACTAATCTACTTAAACAACTCTCTGATACCAACTTGTAACGCCCCAAAATTTCAAATACCAATATTAACTTAACATGGTCTCTAAAACTTCTAAAATTCGAAAATTCAAATACTAATATTGTTATTAATAATAATTGCGGAAGCGAATAGAAATTTAAATAAACACTTGGCGCGTTACGTCCTCCTCAAAGCTTGCCACCTTATTCAAGTATGAGCTTTAACTTTTCCATTCCCACTGCCACTCACTACGTTATTTCCTGGGTTGCGTGCATTTTTAGATTCTAATGGGTAAGCCTAGGGCCTAGTGAGTTTGTGGTTTTCATGCATATTGACGTCAACAAAATAAAAACAAATGCAACAATTTATCAAATATAATGTGTTTCCTTTCTTACCACCCTTGGTGATACATAAGGGAACTACTGCCATTTTCAGGGAACAAATCCCTCCGCCGGGCACAACAAATATGCTTATGACTAATTAATCAGAGCGTAAGCTCTCCACCGCATACTACACCCTGTACATCGACTGCTAATAAGACCGTGTAGAAATACACCTGTTCCCAATATATATGTCACCCACTATTTTCACCATTTTATATGAAATAATTCATAAAAATTCACACAAATATTCATAGCAATAAAAACAGTAACATGTAACTGCAAATCATTTAGAATCAACTTTTCTTGCAAACAACCACAAAATTCACACGAAACTCACCTTGTTGGCATTATGTCTTAACCAAAGTTTATCACGTTACACGCACCCTACATTTAACCAATATATTTTTCCGAGGACATAATCCTATAAATATCTTATGATTTCATGGTGTGAGGTTCGACTATTCGTACTTGTTTTGCCAGCTAATATTTTAGTTTTCATGCTAATATATATATATATATATATATATATATATATATATATATATATATATATATATATATATATATATATATATATATATATTAAAGCATAACTAATTATTTATTAAATAAATTGGGTAGAAATATTTAATTACCAAAACTTCAAGGGCTAGAATGCAACTCTTGATAACAATAAAATTAATCGGCAAGATGCTAAAACTGTAACGATTAAACATATAATATAATAGTTCAAAAAGATGACAAGGGATTTAAAACATGAAGGCCTTTTCTGTAACTATTTGTTGGATTTGCAAAACAAGTGAATTTAAATGCGTATGGATGGAACAATCAAATAGGCAGTGCTTTTGACAACTGGCCCACTAAGAAAATTTACTATGATATATCTATTCATAAATTAGATGACACGTTTTGTAAGCCCACCCATAGTAATTGACCCGAATTGTCCTCCTTCTTAACACGCTATTTTTTTTTTTTTTTTTTTTTTCTATTTATGTCATTCCTATCTTTTGTTATAGCTTTGATTTTGTCCCAATAACGTCAACTTATTGGGTGAAACCCATAAACAGTTATCTCCGCTGCTAACTAAGGTAAATTTGTTTTAATATAATATAGAATCATATAATCAAAGATTATTTATATCATTTTATGCCAAGTTTTACCCTTTCAAAAACCATCAAATTCAGCATCTTCATAGCCAAACCAAGGACATACAATCGATCTAGACCACACGATATATAATCTAAAACGATATTTTCAACTAATTTCAACTAAAATTAGAAGAACTTACCTTATTTTCTAAAGAAATCTCAAATATCTTCAAAAACTTCAATATCCGAATTCTCCGTCGAATCTTAGTCGTTTCTTGCAATTCCAATGTGGTTTACACTCGATTTTTCGTACTATTTATAATGCCTAAGTCTAAAACCGATAAAACCCTTTCATTTGCTTGTATTTAACTAGCCCAATCAAGGTGACAGTTTTGAACATTAAACCTCATAATTTGTATATAATTAACCCATTAATTTTGAACTAATCCTCTTTTTTTTTATATTAATATAATCAGATTATATATATTATATATTTTTATTTTTGACACAAGTTATTACAAATACGCAGGAAACATCGTAAAATTGAAGACAACATGTAACATTGCAGACAAGGGGATAATTCGAGCAAAAGAAGGTAACAATTGGATTGAATTTGACAATAACTGAGAGTTTAATCATAATTCGCAAAATTGATCAATCACCTTGGGGATAAGGAAAGTCATTCATCTTACATAATTGATGAAAATATTGATAAGATCAGAAAACAGAGAGAAAAGATGAAAAGTAGAGATTTGTATATGGCTATACTAATCTATTTCTACAATGATATAAAATTAAATGACTGCTTGAAGAATGGAAGGAAAACAAATATGAATCGAGAAGAGACAATAAAAAACTCATCCATGGTTCTTGATAGAATTTAAAGAGATAAATCGATTATTGTTGTTGACAGAATAGTATCTAATTTTTATTTATTTTATGACTCTTTTTTTCTTAACCCCAAATTGCAGGGGGTGGTGAAAGCAGAATGCTGTATAGAGAGTGTAGTTTGAAATCTTCAATAAAGGCAGAAACATTCTTTGATGAATAATTGGTGGTAAATGAAATCGTCAATTAAAAAAAATAGGTAATCGGAGAATCAGTTTGTTGAAGGTATATTTTGAGATGCCTTCGATATGGTTAAATGGGGGCAAGGGAATAATCGGAAAGTAAGAAAAAGCTCAGTTTGGTGAATAGTTAAAGTGGAGCCTCAAAATGATTCATAATGTTTGAGAGACAGGGTCATAATAAGAAAGTTTAGGACGTTTAGAGGCATGGGCATAAACAGGAAGTCGAAGGTACATATGATCATCAATGGTGGTTGTCAGACAAGATAGAAACAAAACAGGAGGAGGAGGAGGGAGAGGGTGGGGCTGTTTTAATGGTTTCGGTGGAGGGGAGAGGGGAAGAGGGTGCTTGGTTGGGGTAATGTATGGGTCATTTCTAATATTTTAATTTCATAAAAAAAAATAAAAATAAAAAAAAATATTTTAAGGATGAAATTTCAATTTGAAGTGCGTTAACCATTAACATTTTATTTCAAATTTAACAAAGCTTCATCTACAATAAAAATTTCTCAAAAGGATAAAATGTAGTGAAACTATTTTATATTTTAGTTAAAGTAAATTATAAACTTAGATAACACTTTTATGGTTTACTCTCAAAATCTTTGTCCCAATAGAAGAGATAAGAAACAACCTAGTTCGAGAAACACACGCAAATAATATATTAAATATAATTTTTTGAAAAAAAAACATTTTTGTTGGTATGTTTCAACAAGAAAATGAATAACATGTTAAAAACCAAGAAACCTTACATTTTTTTCTAATTACATGAAAAACATATTTAAAAACCAACAAAAGCATTGCATATTTTATTGAATAACATGTTATTTTTTTCATTATATTTATCAACATAGTTATTTGAAACTTTGACATAAAATTTTGTTACCTTCTCTCTTTTCAAACGACATACTTGGAGCTTTTTCACTTCCAATGGAGTTTTCTAAAAGCACAATCTTAGTGATTTTGCAGCTGTTGTTATTATGGAATAGAATCTTTTATATCAATGGATGCTATACATCCATCATCAGCTTTGGCGACTCACTGGCTGACACGGGCAACATTAAAAAGCTTGCCTCCGTGTCCCATGCAAAGGTTGAGTCTCTTTGGCCGCCATATGGTGAAACCTTCTTTCATCAACCCACTGGTCGTGCCTCCAATGGACGCCTCATTATTGACTTCCTTGGTAACTCATTTTCGGTTTGAAACAATTCATATATAGTGATAGTTGTAGATATGTGACATCTATTTTTGAATGACAAAAAAATACCCAAGACCTCCTAGTTAATAGTTAGATTATAATATTCATGTTAGCCAAGTGGGCTAGCCTCAAGTTGTAGATATGTGACATCTAGTACATAGTATCTAATGAAGTATGTATTGTTGCATGGGTTAAAGTTAAACGTTGCATTTTTCTGAATAAAGTTGTTCATGTTCTATGTGACTTAATGAAATTACATTTTCTTTTTGTTGTTCCTTAAGCTGAGAGTCTAGGGCTGCCATTGATACCGCCTTTTCTACATGACAATGAGAGTGACAATGTGGTGTTGTTTGAACAAGGAATTAATTATGCGGTGGTGTCTGCAACAGCGTTGGATACATCTTTTCATGAAGCAAGAGGAACTATTAATCCTACAGCAAATGTATCTTTAGGAGTTCAATTGGCATGGTGTAAACAATCATTGCTTTCTATTTGTAGTAACGCTTCAGGTAATCGAACATACATATTATATGCTTCTACTATATATCAATTGCACCAACCATACGTGTTAATAAAATTTCTTATATATTGGAAAGGATTATAATTTGCTAAAAGGAGAAAGATTTTGGTGTAAAATTTTGAGATTCTAACACAATTTAGTAAGTTCTATTGATTATAATTGTTTGCAGATTGTAGAAACTTAATTGGACGTTCTTTAATCCTAATGGGAGAGATTGGTGGAACCGATTACAACAATCCAATAATGCAAGATAAATCAATCGACGAGGTTCAATCATACGTCCCCCTTGTTATTGATACCATCATCTCAGCAATTAATGTAACTACTCAAATCATACAAAACTATATTTTAAACAATCACTACCAATAACACCACTCACAATATTCTTTTCTAGTGTATAACTTTCTCATAGTTTTAAATACAGGAAGTAATTGATATGGGTGCACAAACACTGGTTGTTCCAGGAACCTTTCCAATTGGGTGTTCTAGTTCAATTCTAACATTACGTGGTTCTCAAAACAAACAAGACTATGATAACATAACCGGTTGCCTAATCAAGTTTAATAAAATTGCCGAATACCACAATGAAGTGCTGCAAGCAAAACTAAAACACCTTCGAGAGCTTCATCCTAATGTCATCATCATCTATGCTGATTATTACAATGCTGCCATGCAAATTATCTATTCTCCAGTTAAATTTGGTACATAACATGTTGTAAAATCTTGCTTCTGCTTCAATGAAAGGGGGTCCAAGGTTTAATTCTTGGCACGTCCAAAATATTGCTAGTGCTACACAATTTCCCATATTATTAATTTATTTAGGATCCTGATGTTCTTATTGGGATGGAATTCAAAATTTTCAGGATTCACAAATGGGGTTCTGAAGTCGTGTTGTGGAGGTGGAGGTCCCTTGAACTACAATAAATTTGTGCTATGTGGACATGCATTCTCGACTGTATGTGATGACCCCGATGCGTATGCTTACTGGGATGGAATACACTTTACAGAAGCGGGATACAAAATAATTTTCAAGAGTTTATTTCAAGGCCAATATACTACACCCCGCTTTAATTCCTTGTGTCCTATACCTACACCTACATCAGCATCACAATAAACTATTTCATATATTGTTTCACTTTCTGTAAACTACATACATAATTAAAATAAAATAAATGGCGTCCATAATCCATATAGAATGTTTAGTGAGTAGTAACCATTCAAGGGTTTAAAATGAATCACAATAGATGTCATGTTGGTATTTAATAGATATGGAATCGGGATGTGTTTGGTTCAATTTACGGAATGGTACCAATTATGAACCAACGCGGGTTGTATGGTACCTTTTTTTAAAACGTAGGGGTTATTTCGTACTTGTATTCAAATGCATGTGTTGTGAAGTAGTTTTCTTGGCCAATTATATGATTACGTAAATAACGAATCTATTGAATTTAATAATAACTTCAAAGAAAAAGAAGTATAACAGTAAAGGGGCGTTTGGTTGAGAGGATGTTTTTGTAAGGAATTAGAATATCCTTAGACATGTTTTTTAAGAGATATCATGAAATTGAATTCTATTGGTTGCTTTCTAAACCAAACACACCAGATAATGGAATTAGAGATTCCAATTTCACTGTAATCTAGGAACCAAGATTCCCTAATGTAATATAAAGTCATTTAAATTCGTTTGCAACATGGCTTGCAAAACAATCAATCACTCATCACAAAGAAAAAGTGCTCTGAAGTCTAAACATATCAAATTAAGACAATTTAAACCCATAATTTTCTTATAATATGGAAATAAGAAGAGGGTGTTTGAATGTGTACTTAAATAAGTTTAGTGTGTTTTTCCAAAACAATTTTGGGTTAAAATAATCAGAATAAGAAGAGGGTGTTTGAATGTGTACTTAAATGGTTCCCAGCATAACAAATGGGACTTTTCATGTTATGGGTATATAACCCCGTTTCAAAACAACCACCAAGTTCTATTACTGCTACTAGGAGACAATGTGTGCATTCTAGAAAGCTGTATGACCTATTTTTAAAAAACACAAATTATTTGACTTTTTTATCAGGACTTCATACCATTAATGTCAACAATGGCCATATCATCCCTATCTTGATGACCGAAGTGCTTATTTCTATTCAAATTAATCAAGTTAATGCTCATATCTTGTTTCTTTTTTATATCAGTTTTTTCTCATGTAGAACACAAGTAATCATTAAGGTGATGCTTATATTGTATATTGCAGTGTTCTAAAAGGCGTGCGTCAAGGCGTTCAATGGCGTGAGGCGTGGCTTTGCCGTTATGTAAAGCCCCATAACGTTGTTGTTAGACATCGTGCGTGGCTACGCATGATATGACATGCCATGGCACGTTATGGCGCGTGTTTTTTCGTTTGAGACATGTTTTTTCTCTCTTTGTTATGTCTTTTCTAATCGGAGACACAAGTATTGTGTTTTTTGTTAACAATTTTGTTATTAGTTATTGATATAACACTTCTAAAAAGTAGTTATATTTAATTTAAATTTATATTTATGTGGTAATACAACTATAAATTAATACCAATCGCTGCCTTACATCACGCCTTGAAAAATGCCATGGCTCATTATGCTTGAGGCTTAGCCTTGTCGCCACACCACACCTCACGCCATTTAAAACCTTGGTATATTGTATTATTATTTATACATGTATCATTTTTTTTTATCAATTGATGTATATAAATCTATTTACTTTCATGTATATACTACTTTTGACCAATGGTCTAGAATTACATGAAAATACAGTCAGCTTGAATAAATTACATCAAATTAATACTATATAATAAAAAGAATTGAACTTAGTTCACAAAAGATGTACTCTAATGCACTTTGATGGTTATAAATATAACACTAATTCTGCATCAGATACCTTCAATCCCTCCATTGATATTGTTGTAGCTGTAACACCAAAATCGTAAGCAAAGATCATACACCTGTAACAAAATAAAATTTTAAATCAATTTTTTTCAATTTAAAACACTTTTATCTCAATAATAAAATCACAAAATTTCACATGGTCAAATCATCAAATCTCATATCCAAAAACTGTATATACATCAAATCCAGGATCCTCCAAAAACAAATCTTCAAAGCAAGTGTGTGTATAATCAAGCTGATGCCTTATCGTGATCCTAAGAAGTACCCGAAACACATAACACATAACACGGAAAGAACGAAGCTTGGTGAGTTCCCCCAAAATACCACACACATCACATTAGCCACTCGCGGCTAACTTAATACGACCCACTGGTCAGTGTGTTCCAGTGGAGACCCTCCGGTCACACAACTCGGGTGGACCCTCTGACCCTAACTTAATAAATTCACAACAATAAGCATAATCCACAAAGAAAAAAATGTTGAGTATCAAAATACACAGATAAGCACATAAGACATCTCAAGCACTCAACGATACCACTCATGGTAAGTATAGTGAGAAGACTCACCTCGTAAGCTAGCTAGTAAAGTATCGTACTCGGAAATCTCGAACTAGCCTCCGCCTAACACATAGGATGATTATCCCTAATTAATATTCTAATCATACTCAAATATACCAAAGGTTGTTTGCTCTTTCTCTCTAACTCTTGGGATGGGTAAAAGACCATTTTACCCCTCCATGGTCTCTATTACTCATGTTGACCAAACCCTCAAGTCAACATAAGTCAAACTCGAGTCAATAGTCCAGGTTTGACCTGACTCGGCGAGTGCACTCACGTGACTCGTCGAGTCCACTCATTCCTCAGAAGTCTGGTGAAGGTCCACCTCGTCAAGTTAATCCCTAACTTACCGAGTTATAGTATGGCCAGCTCATCGGGACTAACGCTAACTGACTCGGCCAGTCAACTCATCGACTCAATGAGTCCGTTGAGACCCATGTTGCAAACAAAAGATCTCAAGGAAGAAAACCCTCTCACACTCTAGATCTAAGCTCTCTAGGATCACTAATCATGTAAAGCCATAAGCTTTACATTCATGCATGGAGCTTAGGGCTTGAAATTACAAAAACATGCTCTATTAAGGGTTTTTCGCTCAAGTCTCTATTATGGCTAAATAAAGCAGGGATCTTTGGACTCTAGGTACCTCATAAAGTCCAGATCTGATGTCAAAATCTCTATATGTGCTTAAAACATCCAATGTCCCAATATTAGATAGAAAAGAAGTCCTAAACTTCAATAATATGGGATCTACCCAAACTAATATGAATAGTAACAGATCTAATAGCCTCCTCTTGTTCATTGCTTGAAATCCTTCTAGTCTCTTGCAAAGATGCACCAAGATACTCAATTTTAGCTTACACTCTCTCTATTAGGGTTTCTCTCAGTGAAGGTAAGCAGCTGTTGAGCCACAATTGAGGCTATAAGTGCCCTTAAATAGGCCCCAAACCTGGGAATTTAGGGTTTCACTTCACATCGTCTACTCGGTGAGTCGACTCTCTAACTCGTCGAGTAAATCATTAATCCCACGTAGCACAACGCGACTTTACTCGGCGAGTTGTAGCACCGACTCTATGATTTTATCAATAGTCCTCAAAATAAATAAATAAACAATATACATAGAAGTCCGGATGTTACAATACTCCCCCAATAGAATAAGAGTTCTCCCTCGAAGTCATGCTCTGGAAATAACTCCGGGTACTGCTCTTGCATCTCGAATTCCGGCTCCTAAGTCAACTCGGACTCTCTCTGATGTTGCCACTGGACCTTAACCACAGGAACCTCTTTGTTACTTAAAACTTTCACCTTTCGATCCAGGATTGTAATCGGCCTCTCAATATAATCCAGGTTGGCATCCACATGGATGTCCTCTAATGTTACCACTTCCGTCTCATCGGCTACACTCTTGAACAGCTGAGACACGTGGAAGGTGTTATGGATCTGACTCAACTCTGTAGGTAGCTCTAGCCGGTATGCTACCTTACCCACTTTGGTGGTCACTTTGAAAGGGCCAATGTACTGGGGCCCCATTATGCCCATTTTCCTAAATCAAATCACCCCTTACCAAAGGGGCTATCTTTAGGAGTACGAAATCTCCGACCTGGAACTCTAGCTTGGATCGTCGCCTGTTCAATAACTCTTCTGGCGACTCTGGGTTGTGAGTAACCTCTGCCTGACCTGCTAAATCTACTCATTCTTCTTTAGTACTATCTTAGTGCCACCCATCACATGCTGCCCTACCTCTCCCCAGCAAATGGGAGTCCGAAACCTCTTCCCATAAGGAAGTTCAAAGGGAGGCATACAAATACTCGAATGATGGTTGTTGTTGTAAGAAAACTCAGTTAAGGGAAACTAAGTGTCCCTACTTACTCCGAAGTCCATAACACATGCAGACAACATGTCCTCAAGCATCTGAATTGTTTGCTTGCTCTGTATATCTGTCAGTGCATGGTATATAGTGTTGAAATGCAGTCGGGTACCCATCTCCTCATGAAATTTCTTTAAGAATTTGTAAGTAAAGCACATGTCTCGATTTGAAACAATCGAGATTGGTACTCCATGCCGAGCCACCACCTCTCTTACATAAATCTCGGCCAATCTTTTTACAATGAACTGCTACTGATAGCTAGGATGTGAGCTCTCTTCGTCAGCCAGTCCACAATTACCCAAATCGTGTCAGCGCCACATGTAGTTGTTGGTAACTTGGTGATAAAGTCCATAGAATTCTGTTCCCACTTCCACTGGGAATTTGCAGAGGCTACTATGGACCATGTGGATAGTGGTGCTCTTCCTTAACCCAGCGATAGGTCAAGCACCTCTCAACTACCCAAGCAACATCCCTCTTCATATAGGGCTACCAATAATCTCTCTTTAGTTCCAAATACATCTTAGTGGCCCCAAGATGGATTGATAATATCGATCTATGTGCCTCCTCCATCAGTATACACTGAGCTCCACCTGTATAGGGCACCCAAATCCACCCTCGGAAAGTCATAAACTGACGACCATTCCATCACAAACTTAGACACCTGCCCAATCACTCGCTTCCTCTTGCAGTTCTACGGTCTTAAGGCCTCCACCTGGGCCTCTAAAATGGTATCTAAGACTGAAGTCATCATCGTTATCCTCATACACACACCTCGGATTGGAGCACTCTCGGCTCTACGACTTAGGGCGTCGGCTACCACATTAGCATTGCTTGGATTATACAGGATCACACAGTAATTGTCTTTCACCACATCTAACAATCTCCTCTATCTCATATTTAGGTTAGGATGATCCATGAGATACTTTAGGATCTTATGGTCCGTGTATATGATACATCAAACCTTGTACAAATAGTGGCGCCGAATCTTGAGGACGAACACCACCGCCCCCAACTGTAGATCGTGGGTGGGATATCTCGTCTCATGAAGCTTCAACTTCCTTGACACATATGTTATCACGTGCCTCCTCTACATGAACACCACACCCATTCCTGATATAAATGCA